TGGATTTCGGGCTGTGCCAAGTGCGGCTTTGGCCCTGGATAAATTTTATCCTGATATTGCATTCAGTGCTGTTCTGTCAGCTTTTCTGCCATGGGAGTGTGAGACCAGGCACAGCATCTGGGGAGTGTTATTTGTTTTCTGATGCTTTCCCTGGGGTTTCCTGTTCTTGTCGGTTTTCTGATTTATTTTCCTTTTTTATTTTTTTCTTCCTTTTGGATGAGGTTACTTCTGTTGATGTATGGCCCAGATCTGTCCTAGTCTACTTTGAAAGCTGGTAAATGAGTAAAGCTGGGCTTTGGGATTGGAAATGATGTGAGGGCAAATGTATTCCCACATTTGAAGAGAGCTCAGGTTCCTTGGGGCAGGGGGTGTCTGTGTGTGGCAATGTACATAAATTTGATGCTCCAAAAATGGGAGATTTAAGCATTTTTATTTGTTGGGAAAGGCTGCTTAAATTGAAAAAAAAAAGCTGAGGGTAGAGTTAAGGATGAAAGGACAGGCTGGAAGACCTGGGGTTGTTTAGTCTGGACGAGAGAAGGCTCCAGGGAGATCTCAGAGCCTTTCCCAGTGCCCGAAGGAGCTCCAAGAGAGCTGGAGAGGGATGTGACACAAGGGCTGGAGTGACAGGACACAGAGCATGGCTTTAGACTGCCAGAGAGAATGGTGAGATTGGATACTGGGAAGAAATTCTTCCCTGTGAGAGCAGAGAGGTGCTGACACAAGTTTTCCAAAGAAATTGTGGGTGCCCCATCCATGGAAGTGTCCAAGGTTGGGTGGGACATTGAGCAGTCTGGTGTAGTGGAGGGTGTCCCTGCCCATGGCAGGAGGTTGGAAAAGGATGATCCTTAAGGTCCCTTCCAAAACCATTCTAGGATTCCAAAATTCTATAATTAGGAGATTTTAAAAGCAGTTTTCTAGATATCCTCAAAACCATAAATGAAAAAGAGCACTAAAAGTCTCTCAGCTAACAAAAAAAAAAAAAACCCACAAGCCAAATGCACCAATATCTACCAAAAAAAAACCCCAAACAACACAACAGTCTGTTATAGAGGGAAAGTAAAAGCTGCTGTGGAAATCTGGAGAAAGGATAAATTGACAGCAAGCAATGCAAATTAAAAGCTTGAAAAATACAATTCAAAAAAAAAAAAAAAAAGGAAAAGTGTAGAAATTTTATTCTTCAGACCAGCAAAGCTGAATAAAAAGCAGAATTCAGAGTCTACTAAACCCATAATAAATCCTGATGGTATTGGTTTGTTACTAGCTCGAAATGACAGATTTATTTATAATAATGCAGGAATTTCAATAAACGCCTGTATTCTGTAATTGGAAGAGAGCCTGGTTCCTTAATCCACATCCCAGCCTAATGAAATACTTTTCATTACACCAGCAGCTGGAAAACCTGCTATACATCATCTAGCAAAGTGAGATGTGGGCAAGAGTAACAAGACAGAGCAATTTGGAACTTGAGGGTTTTAAAAGAGCAGGTTAAGACTAATTTGGGATCATTGTTCTTTAGGAAAAGAAAGGTGGAAGAGTTCCCCAAATCTGGAGAGAGGAGCATGTGTGTGTAAGCACAGCAGCCTCACATCTGTCTTAGGCACAATATCCATCTGAAACGGGATCCAAAAGTTTAGGGATTGTGGGTAATATTATGATTATAATTGAATAATAGCATGCTCATTAAAACAGAGGCATTAATAGCAATCAACTTATGGAAAATAGATTTTTGTCAAGCTAAATTAATACCTTCTAGGAGAATACAGAACTGGTTGTTGGAGTCTGGGAATTTATCATTATTTGTACACATCATAAATAAGGCATTTTTCTCAGTGACAGTGGATAAACAGAACAACTCAATAATGCAGATCTTGGAAATATGAGCAGCACATAGAACGGAGAATACAGAACTCAGATTTCCCATGAGACTGGCCTTGGATCTCCTGGTCCCTTCCAAAAAGGGTGTTGGGGGATGTCAGAAGGTGCATGAAAGAGAGCAAAGAACAATGCCAGGAAGAAATGATGTGACAGCTCAGAGAAAATCATGTGGAGAGCTGCTGATCCAGAGAAGACAGATTTATGTCCCATGAGATGGATGGATGGAGAACCACGGGATCACAGAATGGTTTGGGTTGGAAGGGACCTTAAAGATTATTTAGTTCCAACGCCCTGCCATGGGCAGGGACACCTTCCACTAGACCAGGTTGCTCCAAACCCCATCTAACCTGGCCTTGGGCACTCCCAGAGATGGGACATTCAGACATTTAGTAGGGTCCAGATATTTAAAAATGTGGATGAGCACCAGAAAAAAAAAAAAAAAAAAAAAAGGCTTTGTGTACTGCCTACAACTTCTACACTAAAATTAATTTGGGTTTTTTTGATTTTATAAAAATAAAATAAAATAAAACTATTTCTTTTATAAAATAAAGATATAAAATATAAATATAAAATATAAAATAAAAATTTATTTATATTTTATAAAATAAAATTATTTTATTTTTTGAACTATGAACAGTGCTCTAACCCAAACCAGAAATAATTCAGGGAGGCCCAGTGTCACACGTGGAACAGGATCTGAGGGGACACTGAGGGCAGGAGGTGCTGGTGCTCTGTCACCCAGGCCATGGTGGCACAGGGATGTGGAGGGAGGCTCGGAATCGTTGTGTGAGGAGCAGCTCAGAGCCTGCACCAGGTCAAGACCTGCCAAGAACTTGTCAGTGGCTCAGGGCAGGTCTCTGGAGGCAGCAGCACGGAGCTGTCCAGGCCATCTGTGCTGCACCCAAGGCTGCTGAGCAGCTTGGCTCCATCTGGAGCTGCCGTGGGCTCGCTGCTGGCGTTGCTGCCGTCGTCCCCTCCTCTGAGGATGGTCAGCTGGGGAGATGGGACATCTTTCCCCATGTCCCTTCAGTGGGGGCAGATGGCCCTTTTGCTCTGCCTCCTCATCCTGTCTCAGGCTCCTGTGAAGCCCAGGTTATGCACAGGGATGCTGACTTTCTCCCCATCTACTGAATTTCTGCACTTGCTCTCTGCACCTGCACTCCCTGAGTGACCATATCCCAGGAGATAGGACTGGACAAGACACAGAAACAATGGGTGGAAAATGACAGCAGTTTTTGGGTCCCCACTGTCCCAGCACATGAGGCAGAGCAGCAGATTCCCCTTTTCCCTGGCTTAGCCTCTTGTGCTCACACAGAGATGGGGCTGCAATCATTTTCCCTGATGAAACCACCCCACCTGTGGGATGAAGACCATGGAGACTTCCCCATCTATGGCCCCTTCCCCATTCTTCTGCTTTTCCCCAGTCTGAAAGGATGCCAGGAAAAAGCAGGGATCTGTCCCTTTGATGTCTTCAGGTCCTTCTGGCCATGAGGGAGGAACATCCCTGCCATACCCAGAGCTCTGGGAATGTGGGGAAAGGCTCAGAAGGGCCCTGGCCTGGCCTTTGGAGAAGGAACAAGGGAGGGGTGAAGCTGTGAATTGGGGTTCCCATGGCTGGGGGAGGTCCATACATATCCATATGGGGTGTGGGGTGTATGGGGTGAGAGATGGGGCTGTGAGGACAGTGAGGTGTATTTTAGGTCCATAGTGTTATATCCATAAATGGGATATGTGGGACAGGGCTGTAGGGATGGGGAGGTGTGTTCAGGTTGTGTAGGGACAGGGCTGTAGGATTATTTATCCATGTGTCCCATGTGTGGATCAATATGGTGGGTGTGGGGGTAAGGGTGTGTTATATGGAACAAGTGGGACAGGGCTGTAGGCTTAAGGAAATGTATATGGCACATGTGGGACTGGGAATAGGGCTAAGAAAGTGTGTATGGGATAAGTGGGAAAGGGATCTAGGATTAAGATGGTGTATATGGGGTATGTGGGGCAGGGTTGTAGGGTTAAGGTGCGTGTGGGATAAGTAGGACAGGGTTATAGGGGCAAAAGGGTGCATATGGGGCGTATGGGACAGGGCTATAGGGTTAGAGGGAAGTATATGGGATATGTGGGAAAGAGCTATAGAGTCAGGAAGGTTTATATGGAAAGGGCTACAGGGTTAAGGAGGTGTATATGGGATATGTGGGACAGAGCTATAGGGTTAGGAAGGGTTATATGAGATATGTGGGACAGGGCTGTAGGGTTAGGGAGGTGTATATGGGATATGTGGGGCAGGGATATAGGGTTAGGCAGGTGTATATGGGACATATAGGATAAGGTTATAGGGCTAAGCGGGGTATATGGGATATGTGGGACAGAGTTATAGGGTTAGGCAGGTGTAGATGGGATATGTGGAGCAGGGATATAGGGTCAGGAAGGTGTGTATGGGATATGTTGGGCAGGACTCTAGGGTTATCCATCCATGGGGTGGCTGTGTGGGATGAGGCAGTGCAGTTGTGCATGCACAGGTGGGATAGGTGGACTATAGGGTTAGGGGGCTGTATATGGGATATGTGGGGCAGGGCTATAGGGTTAGGGAGGTGTATATGGGATGTGTTGGGCAGGACTCTTGGGTTATCCATCCATGGGGTGGCTGCGTGGGATGAGGCAGTGCAGTTATGCATGCACACGTGGGATAGCTGGGCTATTTGGTGTATATGGGATATGTGGGGCAGGGATATAGGGTTAGAGGGATGTATATGGGATATGTGGGAAAGAGCTATATAGTTAGGAAGGTTTATATGGGGCATGAGGGACAGGGCTACTGTGTTAGGGGGGTGTATATGGGATATGTGGGGCAGGGCTATAGGGTTAGGGCGATCGTGAGACCGGGCAGCCCGGGGGCTGCAGGGAGCCCTTCACATGTGTCGGGTTGATGGAAGGGTCACAGCGGGGCGGGGGAGCCGCGGACGGACCAGCACCAGCACCAGCACCAGGCTGGAGCCGCTGGGGGTTGGCGGGATGGGGGCGGCGGGGGGCGCGGTGCCCGCTCCCCGCCCGCCCTGACGGCCGCTCTCTCTCTCCCTCTCTCCCCGCTCCGCCGCCCCGTCCCTCCCTCCCTGCTCTCCTCCCTCCAGCAGAGCCTCCGCCTCCGCCTCTCCGCCCGGCGCCTGGTCCTGGCGCGGCTGCCGAACGGTCCCGCTCGACGCCTCCCGGACCAAGTGCCTGTGTGACCGGCTCTCCGCCTTCGCCATCTTAGCCCAGCTCAGCCCCGACATGGTGAGTCCCGCCGAGGGAGGAGCGGAGGGGCCGGGGGAGGCGTGGGGGACACGCGGGGGACAGGGCGGAATGAAGCGGGAGGGAAAGGGACGCGCCCGGGATGCAGCGGAGCATCCCCCGTACGGCGGCGGGGACAGCCCCGAGCGCTGCCGCTGCTGCCGCCGCCGCCGCTGCTGCTGCAGTCCGGTGTCACCGGGACCGTGGCGACACAGAGGCTTTGCATAACCCTCCCCCTTCCTTCCCCGCCGTCCTTCCTCTCCCCTTCCCCCCGACCCTGACCGCAGCTTTTGGGGACACACACACGCGGGGACATCGCCGCGCTGCTCCCTCTGGTCCTCCCCATCCATCCTTCCATGCCTGCGCTGTGCTTTGGGACGTGGATCCCGCTCAGTGTGGGGAGCCGCCGGGCCCCCGCAGGCGTGTTCGCTGCCGTGGGCTCCCCACGCACGGAATCTTCCGCACGTGGCTTTTTTTGGGGGGGCGGAATCGCCCCGCTCCGCCTCCCTCCCTCCCTCCCCGCCTGTCTCCATCCCCCCTCGGCGTCCTCCCCGCTACCCCACGCAGTTTCGGGGTGTGTGTACGGAGGGGTTCCCGCGCTGCAATCGCGGGGAGCGTGGAGGGGAGGAGTTGTGAAGTTTTGGCCGCTTGTCGGGGACACGAAGTCGGTGCCGCGTCTTCGGACGGAGCCTCCGAAAAAAAAAAAAAAAAGTGCGAGATTCCTAGAAATTATCGCTGGGCGGCTGCACCCTGAGTCAGAGCACGGGGAGAGTGCCAGGGCACTAAAGACGGCGCTGGGGTGGTCAAAAGACGCTTCACAGGCTCCTCTCTCCCACCTTGTGCTTTTGAATTTGTTTTTCTTTCTTTCTTTCCTTCTTTCTTTCTTTTTTTTTTTTTTTTTAAAGTAGTTCATCCCTTTTTTGGACAGTGCCCAGGTTCACAGAGTGAAGCCACCCCCCTCCTCCACCTAAAGCTTCTCCCATCTGCCTGGGCACTGGGAGTTACTGGGCCCTTGCAATTATTTACTAATTATGGCTTGCTTGTTAAATGCTGGCTTAATTCGGCAAAAGGGGAGGGGAAAGGAAGAAAGAAAGGGTGAGAGTGGTAAAGGGAGAGGGGGGATCACATTTTCCAAGATGAAGGTTTGGTTTATTATTAGAAACACTAATGTATTTGGTCCACTAGTTACCATGGAAACAACATCTGCACTGAAGTGGTTTTAAAGACACAGTGTTGGTTGTGTTTGCCTGGGCCCCGAGCAGGCCCAGCCACCACAGGGCTGGGAAATGGGCTCTGGGCTCCTCAGCAGAGCAGCTTTTGGGCTCCTCTGGACAGAGGCACCAACCCTGTGGTCTCAGGCAGAGATATTCTGGCTGAAGGATGCTCAGAGGTAGGACTGGGAGCGTGTTCCCGCTTGGAAGGGCTCTGGAAGCAGCTGGTTGCATCAATCCTGGCATCCCTGCACCCATCTCCTTCCTTGGGCTGTTGTTTCCTTGTCCTGCCACCATAAACCAAGCGGGCAGGGAAGCAGCTGCTGGGCTGGTGCTCTCCAGGAGAATTCCCAGCCTTCTTGAGGTGGACAGGGTGATCTCAGGTGAGCCAGGTGGGGTTTGTCACCTGCCCTGGGAGCTTGCAGGGCTGTGTCCTGCCAGCAGCAGGGCTTCACGCTTCACCCCAAGCTCCAGCAGCTTTAGGGTCTGGCTCCAGAGGTTGTGGTTGATGAGTGAGCCTTGCCCTGCATGGGAAGGACTCCAGGATATCCTGACAAAGTTTTGGGAGGTTGCATGGCTGGGCAAAATAAATTGGGATTTCTGCTGCAGGGAGGCTTCTAAGGCAAAGCTTGAAATGAGGCGAGCCCAGATGTGCAGCTGAGCTGCTGGTGGAGGTCCTCTGCTGATCCATCTTCTGGAATTGGGCAGAGGATCAGGCAGTGTGGGAAAAGCAAAGGGAATCTTTGCCTTGGCTAAAGCAGAAGTTTCTCTTATGTAGATTTTATGTTCACACACTGCTTGGTATTATTTAATTAATCAATCTGGGGAAAAAATGGTTAATTTGATGTGGCCAGGTGCTGCTGCTCCATCAGCTCCAGGTGTTTCAGTGTTATCTGGATAACACAGGGTGCGTGTCAGCCCTTTATTATCCCTGCAAGTATTTTTGCATTTGAGAGTGGGCTTGGCTGCAGGAGGATACAGCTCCTTCCCCCAGGCATGTTTTATTATATCTGCAACTAAACTCACAGCTGCTCCTTTGGGGTTTAGGCCTAAAATTGCTTCTTTTGCCCTCTTTCCAACTCCTCTGGCTGCTGGTTGAGTTATGTTTACCCAGCTCATTTTTTCCCAGCCCTGAGTCCACTCATGAGCATCAGGATGAGTCCTTTGGCTGTGCTGAGGGGAGAACTGGGGCTTGGGTATCTCCTGAATCCCCTGACTGAGCCAGTCCAAGGGGTTGATGATGATGGGGAGCATCACCCTGGCTGAACCAGCTGGGACCCATCTCCTGCCTTTGCCTGCCCTGTGAGCTTGCATGGCTGTGCTCATCCAGCTCCTCATTCCCTCGCTTTCCTCCCCAAATCTCATTTTGAACAAGCCCACGTTGCCTCCCGTCCCCAGAGGTGGCATCTCGTCATCGTTGGTGTCTGCGGTGGTGACATTTATGGTGCAGTTTTTCATGTGCCTTTGGAGCTCTCAGGACAAGAAGCTCCGTCCGCCTGTGTCATTAATATTATTTATTGCTATAAATCTCCCTTCTGGAGCCTTTGGCCCTGGCAGCTTGAAATATTTGTAACCCTAGTATGGGCACAGCTCCTTTGCAGTGAAAAAAGGCTTTTGGGACGAGTGTTGCTGCTGATTGGGACTGGCCAAGGACAGTTTGCCTGGGCTGGGACCTGAGAGTTGCTGGTGTAGTGGGGAAAGGAAGCAGTTTTCCTTGATTTCAGTGAAGCTGGAGGCTGAAAATGCTGTGTTTTGAGTCAGTTTGGGAGACAGACATCCCTAAACCGTGATAGATCCAGCTCAAAAGCTGGAGTTCAGATTTGTGTTTGATTTCCCCTGCTACTTCCACTTGACAGAGGCAGCCTCATGCCCTGCTTTGGCACAACTGCTGTTTGACCATCGTGAAAGATTAAAACCTCTTAAATTAAGGAACACAGACAAGCATTTTGGGACTGTCTTTTTGTTTTAGCTTTATACCCTGCCTGTCTTGGAAGGGCAATGCCTTGTGGTACTACACCTGCACAGTAGCAGTGCTAACAGAAAATGAGGGCAAAAGGAAATCACAGAGCTGCATGTGAGGCATGTGGTGGTCATTTTTTCAATATATTTTGGCAATTTTTGGAGGTGGGAAGAAGCAGAGCAGGAGCCTGAGGATGAGCAGCAAAGCCTTTCACTCTTTTGTTGTCTCATATGAGTTTGGCCCGTGTTGTCTTTGCTGCCTTCCACCTTGTGCTTGGCCTTTGTAAAGTCAATCCAGCTTTAAAGGTTGGTTAAGCACAGCTTGGATGGGGTTTTGGGAAAGCTGGTCTGGTGGAAGGCGTCTCTGTCCAGCCAGGGGGTTGGAATTGGATGATCTTTAAAGCCCAAACTGATGCTTCTGTGATTTGTGCAGCCCTTAGGGCTGGAGTAAAACTTGACAAATTGTTGTCTCTCCCCCTCCTTACCGGTCCTGCCTGCAGAAAACTGATCAGAGAGAGGCATCTGAGCTCTCCTCTCATTCCTAGGCTTGATGAAGACTCAGAGCTGGTGGCAAGAACTTGTAGGGTGCTGAGTTTGTTATGTCTGCACTGAATTTTTGGGACATCTCACCTCCGTGTTGGTGTTTTCTGACAGGCAAAACCAGCAGCTGTTGAGTTTTGTGGGGTTTTTTGTAACAGATCTGGCCTGGGTGAGTGCTGGCCAGGCAGTGAGCTGACCTATGGGATGAGAGGAAACAGCCTCAAGTTGTGCCGGTGGGGCAAATCTAAAAGATTGGATATTAGGAAAAAATTTCTTCAAGGAAAGGGGTTGTCAAGCATTGGAACAGGCTGCCCAAGGAAGTGGTAGAGTCACCATCCCTGGAAGTGTTCAAGAAATAACTGGATGTGGCACTTGGGTGCTGGGTTGATGGTTGGACTTGATGATCTCAGAGATATTTTCCAGCCTTGATGATTCCAGGATTTATATCCCAGGATTGTTCAGTGTTCTCTCCAGTTTGCAAGAATGGGAAGCACCTTTCCTGGCGTGCTTCTTACCCACGGGGATAAAGCTCCTCTCTAAACTCACATTTCTTTTTTTGTCCCTCAAAACCTCCCATTTTGGGATGGAAGGGACCTTCAAAGATCTTGTTGTGTCCCAAGGATCTTCCCCCTGAAAAGATTGTCCTGTGCTGCAGGAGCTCTCTGTACTTCATGGACAGTGCACACACACAAGGTGGGTTATTTTAAGCTCCTAAAATTCTGTAGGGCCTCTCTTCCACAGGGAGGAGATCCAGGTTTCCCAGGAGAAAAAAGGAAAAAAAAAAAAAGTTGATGTTATGAATCAAATATTTTGTAAGACTGTAGCAATTCTGACAACATTTTGATGGAAATTATATTGGTTTTATTTAGATAAGACCGGAGAACTTCATTTGGAGATGAAAATTTTAACATTTATATTCTTCCATCATTTATCATGTGAAATGTGGAGTCTGGATGAGAACAAAGCCTTTTGCATACCTTGAGAACTGACAGTTCTCATGTTCACAACAGTTTCCAGGCTTAGGTTCTGCTTTTTCTGCAACTTTAACTCTTTAATTCAAAAATTAGACTTTTCTGAGGAAGGGAATTTTTCAGTTTTGCCAGGCTTTTGAGACATCAAACTCTGGTCAGGTCGTGCACGGGTTTAGGGAAGAGTTTGGTGTGTTTGGGTGTGTTGTTGAGGCTAGAGCCAGAGCTTTTCTGTGCCTGTCAGTGGAATTGTGACCTTGAGCTGAACACTTCCTGCTTTCTGCTTCCCTGTCTCCAGCTGCAGCACCCTTGCAGGTGACACCCT